AGGTACAAGAAACGTTGTACAGAGGACAATGATACCTCACTTCCCTTCAAAATAGGCACCTTGGGGCCTCACATAGTTCTCCAAATTGCCATTAGCTGCCCTGCTGTATTTTCCTGAATCTCATCCATGATCTGAAACCTCTTCCCTTTTTTTTTGAAATTAATTTCTAAAAAAATATATTTTATTGATTATGCTATTACAGTTGTCCTATTTCCCCTTTCATTCCCCTCCACCCTACCCTCTCCCCCACCATTCCCCCCTTTAGTTTATGACCACGTGTCTCAAGTTCTTTAGATTCTATATTTCCCCTACTATTCTTGCCCTCCCCCCTATCTATTTTCTACCTACCATCTCTGCTACTTATTCTTTGTACCTTCTCCCCCCTTCTCCTCCTCCCACTTCCCTGTTGCTAACACTCCATGTGATCTTCATTTCTATGGTTCACTCCTGATCTAGCTGTCCTCTTAGTTTGCTTTTATTTTAGGTGTGGTTCTTAATAACTGTGAGTTTGCTGTCCTTTCACTGTTCATCTTTTTGATCTTCTTTTTCTTAGATAAGTCCCTTTAACATTTCATATAATAAGGGCTTGGTGATGATGAATTCCTTGAACTTGACCTCATTTGAGAAGCACTTTATCTGCCTTTCCATTCTAAATGAAAGCTTTGCTGGGTAGAGCAATCTTGGACGTAGGTCCTTGCCTTTCATGACTTGGAATACTTCTTTCCAGCCCCTTCTTGCCTGTAAGGTCTCTTTTGAGAAATCAGCTGACAGTCTGATGGGAACTCCTTTGTAGATGACTGTCCCCTTATCTCTTGCTGCTTCTAGGATTCTCTCCTTCATTTTAATCTTGGGTAATGTAATTATGATGTGCCTTGGTGTGTTCCTCCTTGGGTCCAACTTCTTTGGGACTCTCTGAGCTTCCTGGACTTCCTGGAAGTCTATTTTCTTTGCCAGATTGGGGAAATTCTCCTTTATTATTTGTTCAAATAAGTTTTCCACTTGTGGCTGTTCCTCTTCCCCTTCTGGTACCCCTATAATTTGGTTGTTGGAACATTTAAAGATGTCCTGGAGGTTCCTAAGCCTCTCCTCAATTTTTTAATTCTTGTTTCTTCATCCTTTTCTGTTTGGTCATTTTTTTCTTCCTTCTGGTCCACTCCCATGATTTGAGTCCCAGTTTCCTTCCCATTACTATTGGTTTCCTGTGCATTTCCCTTCATTTCAATTAGTTTAGCCTTCATATGTTCCTCTAATTTGTGACTAAAATCAACCAGTTCTGTGCATCCTGATCACCAGTGTTTTGAACTGTGCACCTGAAAGTTTGGCTATTTCTTCATTGCTTCGAGTTATGGGCTCTTGGGCTTTGAGTTCTTCTTGAGCCATAGTGCTTTGCTCTGTTCACGCCTGTTACATATAAGGAATGGAGCCTTAGTTGTTCAGCAGGGCTGGGCCACCCAGTTGCTGGTTTGTGACACTGTATGTGGGGGCAGGGTCAGAGAGGGGCCACCCAGGTCACTGGTTTGTGGCGCTGTATGTTGGGGTGGGGTCAGAGAGGGACAATAGTGGTCCCCTCTGCTGCTTCCCGCAGCTGGGGCCTGTGTGGTCCGTCTCACTGCTTGCTCCTTCGCTGGTTTATCTGCGCATGAATGTGTGACCTTGGTCAGTCCTCAGTGGGTCCACCTGCTGCTACTCCACACCTGGGATCCGCCAATGGCTGCCTGCGCGCCTGGGTCACGCGCCCGGGTTGGTCTGGTGGATCTTTCCTGCCCAACCCCGCTCTGCTGCTGGCTCTGCCCCTCTTACCGGTCTGGCTGAAGGGTTCGTTGTTGTCAGACTTCTGTACAGTTCAATTTTCTGTGTTTTGGCTGCATTTTTGTTGCTAAAACTTTGTTGTTTTTAAACTTGGTTGTGCGAGAAGGCACAGTGTTTCCACCTACACCTCCATCTTGGAGGAAGTCCAATTGAAATTAATTGATATAGTGCCAGGGGATACCAGACCTACTGTGTGCAGATGGTGTCCAGTGATCCCATGCTGGACCTCACAGCAGTCAGCAACCCCAGTCTACCAGCCAATGCCTCTCTGCAAAGAGCAGTGCAGGGCAGAGGACAACAGGGCAGGCCACTTGTGGCAGTGCCTGCTCCCACTGTTGTGGCTCTCCAGGCACAGACTGAAATCTCTTCCCTTTCAAAGATGATTTTAGTTTTGGGAAAAGCCAGGAGTTGCAGGGCACCAAATCTGGGCTGTAGGGGAATGAGGCAGCTGGGTGATTTAATGTTTTGCTAAAAAACTCTGCATCAGACATGATGCATAAGCAGGGACACTGTCATGATGAAGCTGTCAATCACCAGTTGCCCATAGATGCTGCCTTCTGAATCATCTGAATACATTTCTACAGAGGAATGTTCAAGCTTAACAGAAATTTGATGCAGATTTTTTGATGTGTTGCTCTACTCAGTCACTTTGAATCCCACAACCACACAGTTCACATGCTTACTCAAAGGCCCCCACTGACTAGTGCAGTGAAGTCGTCATTGTGTACACATACACATTCCAGTCCACTCTTCTTGGCTGCCAGGTTACATTGATGTCACACAAACTGTTCTTGTTATACTAACAATGGTTGGACTCTACCCAGACAAACATTGTATGTATATACTACATCTTCTTTATCCACACATGGACACTGAGGCTGTTTCCATATCTTGGCTATTGAGAATAATGCTGCAATGAATGTGGGAGGGCAGCTGTCTCTTTGAGATTTCAATTTTGTTTCCTCCCCAAAGTGAGATGACTGGATCCTGTGGTAGTTCTATGTCGACCAGAGGGTACCAAGCTTCCAAATATAAGATGAGTAAGTTTTAAGGATCTAATATACAACAAGGTGACTGTAGTTAAAAATACTGTAATGTATATATACTTGAAAGCTGCTAAGAGAGTAGATCTTACACGTTTTGACTACAAGAAAGCAAGATAATTATATTAGGTGATGGAGGCATTTAACTAACCCTATTGTGATCATTTCACAACACATATAAGTGTATCAATCCATTACACTGCACACCTAAAACTCACACAATGCTGTATGTCAATAAAGCTGGGAGAAAAAAAGAACAAATTTAAAGAACACAACAAAAACAGAACACAACAAACCTGTACTTCTGTTATTTTAAAGTGAACTTCTAGTACAAAAATCAGAGAATAAAGAAGAAAAATATGTAAGCATAGTTAATGTACAGTTTACAATTCCTGGTCTACATGTTCGACTATTCCAACTTACTAAGATCTGATTCAGGACTGCCTTACTATTTTAAAGGACACTTTCCCATCCTTACTATCTTTTTCTGCATTTTTTTCTTTTAGCTAGTTCTGTCTCAATTAGCTTGAACATGAAGAGAATCTGGCCTTTGAAAAATCAAAATGCTACAAACTCATTTAATTCACTCAAATAGAATGAACACCTGAGTCAATGGGGATTATAATATCACAGGGCCTTTCCTCAGAGCATTTACAAAAAAAAAGAAATAAGAACTCAGAAAAAAAGATTATTCACTTCTGGTTGGCTGGGAGTTGAAGGAAGAATAAATAGCATCATTAAAGGCTTCACAGAAGAGCTGACATTGACAATTGGGCAGGAGGTTCGGAAGAAAAGAGGAAGGCATCTTAGGCAGAAGAAAGATGAATAAACACTAAGAGGGCAAAGAATGGGGCATAGTTTAGGAAAGAGCAAAGGAATATAGGGTAGAAGAAAAGTAGGCAACATGTAAAAGGTTTTGTTTTTTTTTAAAGATTTTATTTATTTCTAGAAAGAGAAAGAGAGGGAGAGGAACATGAATGTGTGGTTGCTTTGTGTGCGCCCCCTACTGGGAACCTGGCTCACAACCCAGGCATGTGCCCTGACAGGGAATTGAATCAGTGACCCTTTGGTTCGCAGGCCAGCACTCAATCCACTGAGCCACGCAAGTCAGGGCAAGAGAAAAGTTTCAAAGGTAGATGTGGACCAGACTTTGGAGGCACTCAGTGCTTAAATTTTTACTCAGACCTCTTTCTATATTAGACACAACTCTCAAAAGCAGAATCGGAAAATGGGGATATCCTAGTAGGCTGATGGAGGGGCAGTGGTGGTAGAAGGAGCATTAAGAATAGCAGCCAGTGACAATAAATATCAAGGGCAAAGAGAGAAAAGTGATTAAAAAAAGATATAACTCAAAATGCTATTTTAGTGGGCTACTTAGCATCAGTACTGCACAAAGCCATTTGGAGTCTGGGGTATAAAGAGAAATCAGCAATACTATATCTTTATTTAAAATATTGATATTTTGTTCACCATGTTTCTTAAATTAACTTTGTTTTTTAAATGGTGCATTAAAATGTGATTTATTTTGACTATTAAGTTTTGGGGCACCCTCTTAAAATTTACTCCTGAGGCAAGTAACCGACTTTTTTGTATAAAAGCATATACACGTCAGAAGTTCCTAGGGACTATTATTGTATAATAATGGACTTCCAGACTGATGGCCCTGAGCAAACAACAAAAAAGGATCATAGGGGACAGCAGCAGGAGGGGGAAAATGGGGACAAATGTAACTGAACAATAAAAAATAAATTAATTAAAAGGGATTGATTCCTATTATAAATATTTAAGAGGACAGGGAAGTCCATAATTTATTTTTAAAAGATTCCCCCTATAATGTTATTAAAACAATATGACTTTTAGCCTTTATGGAGGGAAGGAGCTGAGCTGGAGTTATGTAGAACATTCATTTATGTGAAACAGTGATAGTATCAGATAATAAGTTTTCTGGCATCTAGGTAGAATTTAAGTTTCAGTCAACGTACTAGCTAAGTGCCAGGTATTCAATGAGTTCTTCAACTCAAACAGAGTCTGTACATAATTCTTTCCGTGTTCTTTGAATATCGTGTTTCTCAAGGTTATCCAGGAAGAAGTTAAGTTTTTTCCAAAAGCCCTTCTCACACCTCTGACCTTTTCACGGTGATATTTTACCTCTCTTTGGTGGTCGGACATGATATGTTAAGTCATTAATGACCAGCTTAAAGTCATCAAGGAGGAGGAGGTCTATCCCTGTTGAGGCAGCGATTCGAACACCATCTGTGAAAAAAAATTTAATGTGAAAATTTAAACCTGTCATATGGTCATAATTATTTAAGAATGGTCAGGAAAAAGTAATCCTCAAAATAAATTTCAAAAATTATATCTCTTTTAAATTTCATTTAGAAATCTAGGGTCACTGGGACATCTTATAATTGTCTATGACAGAAGGTGGTTGAGTAAAAAAATTAGTATTTTCTACTATATGGTACTTTTCAGTATGGTTGCTGATTAGATGCCAATAATTCGTTATGGATGAATGCTAGGTTAGCAAGGTACACCAAACTGGTCTACTAATTATACTACTAGGTGAGCTGAATATTAAGTATATTTATAATATTTATAGCATAGAAATATGGCAAATTGTTAACAATTGGTAAATTCAAGTGAAGAGTAAGTGGGTACTTATTGTACTGGTCTTTTAAGTTTTCTGTAGATTTAAAATGTCTCAAAGTAAAAATGGGGAAAAATGTAAGGCCCTAAAAAAATAAACAAATGAAATGGGTATCATGTCAAATGGGAATTTTTTAGTGCCTTTTTAGTTTTTAAAATAATATGTTTTTGTTTTGGTAAACTTTTATGTGAATGCCATAAGAAAATATAAAGAAGTCCTAATATTTCATATCTCCAGAGATGAGGGCTCAACCACTGGAAAAATTTATTCTATGCTTAAGGTAATGACAGAAGGTCTAAATAATATAAAATGCCTATGGCATCATATGTGAGCTGCTTTTGAATGAGACTCTCCATGTATATACTAAAACTGAACAGTTATACTCTGAGGATCAATGGGAGAGAAATCACTTTTTCTCCTGATGCTGGCTAAGCAAAGAAAATTAAGAGTAAGGGACTCTTTTGCAGTTACGTGTGTGTGTGAGTGGTTTGGGGGGAAAGGATGGGTGGGAATTAACAATGAAGATGACTGTACCTGGTGAATAGACAGCAACTCTGTCAATTCCCCGATCCTCTTCTTGAAGTTGCCGTAGAAACACACCAACAGAGTCTGAGATAGGTTTGAGTGTGAACTGGCAGCGTTCACGCCGGGATGGTAGCCTCACAGATATCACAGGTAACCCATTTTGATACACCACCGTCACATCTGAATGGAAAAGAGCAACATTCATATGAAAGTTAGATTTCATTATAAGTTACAACTATATTATTACCATTCTTATATGGGATCTATTATTAGTAGTATGGTTTAAAATGTTTTCAAAGGTTTATGAGTATGTCCTTTATTAACTTATGGGAGACCATATGAATCATACAACTCACTTTTCAGAAAAACAAAAACATGTAAAGGATTATCTTCTAAGTGGATCGGAGAGAGGCTTTCTCAGGAATTTGAGGTAAAGTTCTTGGTACTGCTGCAGAACTTTATTAGATTCCATTTAGTAAGATTTTATTAAGTAGCCAGCGATTGCTAGCTGACTCCATAATCTACAGGAGGTGGCTCTTGAGAGCCAGAGCTGCCAGAAGCCCGGGAGAGCCATGGCTGGTTGTTTCAGTTGGTTGGAGCACTGTCCTGTATGCCAGAAGGTTGCAGATTCGATGCCTGGTCGAGGTGTGTTGTGTACAGGAGGCAGCCGATCCATATTTCTCTCTCACATCAACACTTCTGTCTCTCTCTCTCTCTTAAGATCAATAAACAAAAATTTAAAGAAAAGAATCTAGGGAATGAGTGACATCTTGAAGTACACCAATAAGCAAGACTCTTACTCAAGGACAGTCAATTCATATTTATAATACAGTATTATATCCAAGGTGCTTAATAAGTAAGCATTCTCTTTGCGCTCAGACCAGGGACTGAACCTGAAACCTAGGTATGTGTCCTGACTGGGAATCAAACCTGCAACTTTTCCATTACAGGGTGGAATGTTACTTTGCTCCAAACAACTGAGCCACACTGGCCAGGGCCATTTGTTTATTTTTATAACTTCTATTTCTCTTCATGTTATGCTTTTGTTTTCCTTCTCCTCTCTGAACGTAAGGATCATATTTATAATACCTATTTTAAAATCCTCATTTGTTAATGCCATCCTCTCATCACTTTTAGGTCTATATGTACGGACTGATTTTTATTTTGGTTCTTTCCTGTTTCTTCATAATTCTGGTAATTTTTGATTAGAGGTTGGAAATTGTTAATTTTATATTGTTGAATGCTGGATCTTGTTCAGTTAAGTTACTTTCAAGTCTTTAAAAAGGTCTATTAGGACAGATCTAGAGAACCCTTTGTCTGAGGGCCAATTTAGTCCCATTTCCAAGGTATGATTCTTCTGGGAGTCTCTCTACTGATGTTCATGTATTCAGTGATGTCTCTCCTTTTGGCTAGAGAGAAGTCAAAGGATTTCTGGCCCTATATGAGCACTGGGAATTATTCATTTTATAGCTCCCAGTAACTGCTTTCCATGGAAGTTGTTCTGGCCTGGTATTATGGTTCAGAACCAATCCAGCCAGAACCTCAGGCTGTGAGCTAGGATGATATAGGGTTAATCCAATTTGTTTCTCTTCTCTCAGAGATCGCAGTCCTGTGCCGTTGTCCAATGTCTAAAAATAGTCGTTTCACACATTTTGTCTGGTGTTCTAGTTGTTGACAGTAGGATGGCAACTCCCATGGCAGCTAGTTCTTTGTGAATACATGATTTGAATTTTACATAAAAACTAAAAAGAAGTCAAGTCAAAAATCCCCACTGCTTTTTTCCTTCCAAAAGGGGGGGGGTTATGTTTCTAAGGAAGAAGAGGCCAGACATAGTAATATGAACTTAATACACAGCATGTACAAACTAAAGTTTTCAGTATCTAAAGATATTTGAAAATTTTTCAGTTTCTTTATCCATTCTGAAAGAATCTTAGCAATCCAGTGTTTGTCTTCTTAAAGGCAGAGCTACTAACATGAATATTCCTCTTTTCTGCAGGCAGCAATGGTGAGTTCATAAAAATAAGTGATCACTGTATTTTTTGAACCATAAGATGTACCCAGGTTTTAGAGGAGGAAAATAGGAAAAATAATTTGAAGCAAAGAAATGTGGTAAAATATTTAATAACATAATGTTTTACCAATATAAATGTAAACAGAACTCAGGAGCAGCATTAACAACCATTATTCCTCCCAAATTTGAGGGGGGAAAAAGTGCATCTTATAGTCTGAAAAATACAGTAACTTGTTCACTTGGTATTTTTCCCCTCAATTATTTCCTTCCTATATGTAAAAAAACCCATTAAACCACAGATTTAAAAAATAGAGTTGAATTTAAATTAAAAAATAGGCTTTTTAATTTGATATAGTACAAGTTGTTTATTCTTTCCTTTATATCCCTTGCCCTAGGAGATGTATTGGTGAAAATATCTGCGTGGGGCATCTGAAATTTTCCTGCCTATGTTTTCCTCTGGGATTTTTATGGTGTCACAATTTACATTTAAGTCTTTTATCTATCTGGGGTTTATTCTGGTGTATGGTGTAATTTGGTGGTCTAGTTTCATTTTTTTTTTTGCATGTATCTGTCCAGGTCTCCTACATTTATTGAAGAGGCTATTTTTACTACATTTTTTGCTCCTGCCCCCTTTGTCAAATATTCACTGACCATAGAGACATGGACTTACCCCTTCCCATTCTTTCCCTGGTTATCCCTCATCCCTCTCCCCTCTGGTCACTGTCAGTTTGTTCTTTATTTCCATATCTGTGGTTCTACTTTGCTAGAATAGAATAGAATTTTGTTTATTTTGCTGATTAGCTTCCACTTATAGGTGAGATCATACGATATTTATCTTTCACTACCTGGCTTATTTCACTTAGCATAATGCTCTCTAGTTCCATCCATGCTGTTGAGAAGGGTAGGAGTTCTTTCTTTCTGCTGCATAGTATTCCATTATGAAAATGTACCACCATTTTTAAATCCACTCATTTACTGATGGGCACTTAGGCTGTTTCCAGCCCTTGGCTATTAGAAATAGCACTGCTATGAACATGGGGTGCATAGGTTCTTTCAAATTGGTGTTTCAGGATTTTTAGGGTATATTCCCAGCAGTGGACTCACTGGAGCAAAAGGTAGTTCCATTTTTAGTTTTTTGAGAAAAGTCCATACTGTTTTCCACAGTGGCTGCACCAGTCTGCATTCCTACCAATGGTGCACTAGGGTTCCCTTCTCTCCACAACCTCACCAGCATTTATTGTTTGTTTATTTGTTTATGATGGTCATTCTGACTGGTGTGAATTGGTATTTCACTGTGGTTTTAATTTGTATCTCTCTGATGGCTAGTAATGCTGAGCATCCTTTCATATGTCTATGGACCCATTCTATGTCCTTCTTGGAGGAGTGTCTGTTCAGGTCAAGGAACATGTATTAAGGACCCATAGATATGGACAACAGGATAGGGACTGACTGTGGGAGTGGGGGAGGGAGGATGGGCAGGGCAGGGGAGAGCAATGGCGAGAAAAATTGAGAAAACTGTCATTGAACAATTAAAAAAAAAGTTTGGCCTCTTGCATCTCGGCCACCAACATGCCATCCAGACTGAGGAAGACCTGGAAACTTCCAGGCCACATAAGCCATGACCACAGCTGCATCAGCAAGCACAGGAAGCACCTGGTAGGCTGAGGTAGTCTGCCAGGTTACTTTGGGAAAGTTCAAGGCATTACCACTTAAAGAGGAACCAGAGCTCCTGCCCCACTGTGAACCTTAATAAACTGTGGACCTTGGTCAATGAGCAGACACGGGTAAGTGCTGCCAAAAACAGGACTGGAGCCACTCCCATCATTGCTGTGGTGGGATCAGGCTACTACAAAGTTCTGGGGAAGAGACAGCCCCCAAAGTGGCCCGTCATTGTGAAGGCCAAATTCTTCAGCAGATGAGCTGATGAGAAGATTAAGATGTTGGTGGGCCTGTGTGCTGGCAGCCTGAAGCCACACAGAGGGGGAGTTCACTAAATGCTCACGGGTGCAAAAAAAAAAAAGTTTGTACAATGCTCAAAGGTAAATTTACTAAAATAACAGTATTTTAAAATTACCAATGAAATCTTAGTTTATCCCCCCAAAATATTGACTCTTGGGGCCAAATACAAGATAGGAATCTATGATTCTTAAACACATAAAGTCTGAAAAATTTCACTGAAACACCAGTTTCACAGGTAAATGCCTAGGGGTTACTGTTTTAAAGTAACTGAGCCAAAATCAACAGAAAAAAATTGAAATCTTTCTCACCCACTTTAACTTTTTCCTTGAAGATTATGAAACTTTTCGAAGGGAGGAAATTGACAGCTTTGAGAAACTCTGCATGGAGCAGCACATTTTGGAACTGATAAATCTCTGTTATAATACTGCTTTTGAGTTAAATCCCCAGGTCTTCTTCTTTTCCACACACTGGATTGTAATGTAAATGTTAGTTTTCTTGGTTTGCAACCAGGAAAGGACAATTACCCAAGTTTCCCCAGTGCTACCATCGATAAAATGACTGCTTGCTGTTGTGAGGTCGCAATGGGCATTTACAAGCTAATGGCAGTTGTCAGCTACTATTCTTTGGAAACAGATATTCTTTTTAAGTGTGAATTTCATGAAGTGACTCAGGTTGGGTTTTTAAAAATCTTTTGCTTTGGTTTCCATTTCAATAAAATAAGAAATAATTTATGTTTTACGCAGTGTGATTCAAAGAAACCTAGAATATATGGGGTACCCAATGTCAATACTGAGAGACAGAACATGACAACAGATTTAGGCATAAAAATAAAAAGACAAGGAATTTTTCAGTCTAAAAGAACTGCAAGGTAAACAGACATTTGGGTTTGAAGAAGGAACTAATTTTTTAAAAATGGAGCTGGGACATCAAGTATAAAAGATGTCATAAAACATAAATGCTTATTATTGGCTAATTATTAAAAATGTTCATGAAAATTCATAGTAGAATATGTGGCATTCAAAATAATGGGTAAAATATCTAAAATATACCATCTTATGAGCTTGATTGTATATATAATAAAGACTTATTATGACAGGGAACTGGTACAATGAGGAACTACTTAGTTGAACTTTATATGATGGATGATTTTAGTGGCTTCTGTCTTGTCACTATTTCTTTCTTCCCTTTTTTTGCAATATTCTATATCAGA